GCGAGGCCGTGCTGTCGGCCGAGGTAGTAACGAGCGTCCTCAAGACCACGACTCACGCCCTCGTCGACGTCAACATCAGCAAGAACATGATCGGCTCAGCCGTAGCTGGCAGTATTGGCGGTTTCAATGCTCACGCCGCTAACATTGTCACGGCTATTTACATTGCCACAGGCCAGGTTCGTCATATTATTTTGGCACTCTTGTTCGCCTTAATCTTATCTTATAAGCGAATGCTCCACTACACTACTAGTATATTCTCATTCGCGCTCTCTCTCTCTCTCTCTCTCTCTCTCTCTCTCTCTCTCTCTCTCTCTCTCTATCTATCTATCTATCTATCTATCTATCTATCTATCTATCTATCTATCTATCTATCTATCTATCTCTATCTATCTATCTATCTATCTACCTCACGCTCTGTCCTTTGTATTGCAATCGTCGTAGTACGTAAATTTTCGTTAAAATTATTACATCGACTTTGACGTAATTTTATTTTATAGTTTCATACATTTTCATGTCGCAGAATGCACCTTGAAACTTTTTCAGACACATTCAACTTTATTAATAATTTTCGTATTGCTAAATATCTATAATTAGATTCCTTCCCTTGAATTGGAATATACGCGCGCTCTCTCTCTCTCTCTCTCTCTCTCTCGCTCTCTCTCGCTCGTATTAATTATGAAAGTCGCGTTTGAAGTTTAATGAAATTCAAAGACAAAAAAGAAAAGAATACGAAATAAGAAGAAGAAAAAAATAGTTTCCGACGGGTGGCGACGGTCGCTGTGAGTTTTAATGATTTATAATGGTCGCGCATACTTATTCGCCGAGATCTAGGCATTGGGAGACAAATAAATTTGTCTGGCGCGCATCGAGCTAATTTCCAAGTAAATTTTAGGATCCCGCCCAGAACGTCGGCAGCAGCAACTGCATGACACTTATGGAGCCCTGGGGCGCGGATGGCAACGATTTGTACGTGTCGTGCACGATGCCGAGCATCGAGATAGGGACCGTAGGCGGTGGCACGGGGCTGCCGGCCCAGGGCGCCTGTCTCGCCATGCTCGGAGTCAAGGGAGCTCATACGGACGAGCCCGGCCAGAACGCCAATAAGCTTGCGAGGATCGTCTGCGCAACCGTCCTCGCCGGGGAATTATCCCTCATGGCGGCTCTCACTGCCGGTCACCTCGTCAAGAGTCATCTCAGGCACAACAGGTCCATATACTCGACGCTTCCCTTCGTCGCTCCGCTCAAGTCTCCTCCCCACTCACTCCATGTATTAAGTCAGATTTTGTCTGTCCGGTGCTCAAGTGCATATATTGGAGATGGTGATGGCGCCGCATGTCGAATGGTCGAATTCAAGAGGGTGACACAAGCGCTGCGTTCACGCCCAATTAAGCCCTATTTGCATGGTTTTGAGGAAAGAAAAAAAAAATCACCTTTGTCTTGCCATATTTTGGTGGCTTTTAATGCGCATTTGTCTTTAGGTGTTCATTCGTCAATTTAACGATCGTCTTTTATTTTATATTTTCTCAAAGTAGCAAATTTTCCTACTTTTGTTAAAAAAAAAAAAAAAAAAAATAAAAACAAAACACATCAGAATACCGTAAAGGGCCAATGCCCAAGCGTTACCAACTCTTTGTTTCGAACTTTGCGCTACGAGAGCCAACTCGTATTGTATTTGAGAAGAGCGTTTTGCCTGTGGTAAGATCGCAAAATATTTCAAGCACAAATCTCTGCTTATAAGGCAATTATTAATATTGGAATATTGGTGGACTTTGTCGTAAATTATGCGCCTTGACCACACTTTATTGTATTGTAAAATGTGTTTTGTGCGCGCGAGCTTCCATGACAAGTCGTTATTGATTTTGTTTAGCCAAATCCTTTGTTGCCGTCAAACCAAATGAGTAGGTGTAGACTGCGGCTACAAATAATCGAGTGGAAATTTTCAGATGCATTCACGAATAACTAACGATCACCTTGAACTTCTTGTACACGTACTTTTTAATAGTTCTTTTTTCCTTTTCCTACTTTAAATTAACTTCTTTGTATTTTACTTGTTTTTTTTTTCCTCTTTTTTTTTTATCGGCCATCTACATCTTGGGAACGCTTGGGCAAATTGAATTTTTATGAATCCTTACCAACACAAATACACATTATATTTCAATGTAATACTCTAGTGCGAAGCGACGACGGAATCTGTATTTTTTAATCTAATTAACACATTTCACAATTTTTTCTAAAAATAATTATTCTTTTCAGATCATCGACAACAGTATGCAATCCAATAAGTTCGCCATCAACATCGCCAAAAGTGGAGCAGGGAATGAATTTGACAGTGCCAAGTTTTCTACCTGCCGTTCAACCAGCCTGTACAAATTCCAGCAATGGGTCGTAGTACTAATTTAGGATAAATTTGTGTTTGTGTTTGTGTGTGTGTGTGTGCGTGCGCGTGTATGTGCGCGTGTGTGTATTTTGTCATTGCCATTATCAGTGATCTTAATCGATTGCTAAAAGAAACACAAATCAACGAAGATGAAATTTGTTAATTGACTTTAATGATAAAACTAATGGACTAAGTACTTGATTATAGAGCACAGGTCTTCCAATTTTTAATGTAATTTTATTTTGTGGTGTACAGGTGTTCATTGAACAGTAATGAAATTTTACGCGCTGCTCGCGTAAATGAGGTAAAAGACGCAGATGTCGCGTAAGTCGTGACATTTTTATGCATCTTTTCGTTTTGTTAATACTGTCGATAAAGTATTAGATAGGAAAAATAATCAGTTATACAATTACGAGCATTCTTAAATATATTTTAATTACTCGTCTAATTACCAAGTTTATTACAATTAGTAAATGCTTCTATAAACAAATTACTATTATTATTTTTTTTTTTTTTTATTATTATTTACAAATTCATTGATAATTAGATGTGTAATTCAAATTTTATGAGTGCATTTATGTACTTCTTAAGACATTGCACTAGTGCTATTTTATATCGCATGATTAATTATGAAATTAGAATATTCTATTATTTATAATTATATAGGAGGAAATAGTTTAATTTACAAGGGAACGTCATTAAAATTATCAACTGTTCGTGACTCGACAAATATTTTACGTAATTGCTCCAAATTGTTTGTAATGAAAAAATCAAGGAAAAAGGGCATTGCTTACGATAATTAGTAGGAGACGAGCGTCGTCTACATTCTTAATGATAATATATGTATATATGAACAATTGTTGATTGTTTGACTAAAGCAAAGTTATAATGTAAAAAATATGTTAAGCATTTGAATCGAAATATAATTCGATTTTATGAAATGTGAAAAAATATTTTTTTAGAATTAGAAACTTATTGATTGTGCATTATAAGTTTAAAGGATATCCCGAAGCAACAGAATTTTGTCATTATTTTTTAATTTACTTGTAAAAAATTTTATATTATAAATCTTAACATGCATACGAGGTTTCTGGAATATCCAAGAATTACATAAAATTACGAAATTAAATAATTAATTTACAAAAAAAATATAGCTTTACATTTTTTCATAAGTATCTTCAAATCCACATGTGGTACAGGTGTGCGTATAAGTGTCATCGTCCTCGTTGTAAGTATCTTCGCCAAATTGATGAGTATGAGATGCTTTTTTCGTTTTATCATATAATGAGCTTCTTACTTCCATTCGTAATTTTTTTACTTTTCTATTAAACTTTTTAATTTTAGCCTCTTGTCGGTTGCTCTCCCGTTTCTCGCGCTCTTCCAAAAGTGCCTCTTCGCTACCCCAAACCTGAAGGGCCCTTTCTTCAATTTGTATTTGAAGATAAAGTTTCATCTCGCCCCAGTGCACGTTATGTGGATTTTTACGTAATATATATTTGAGAGGCGGCTCTCTCTTATCGATATCGCAGTCTTTCAATAGATATTCTTGTTTAGCTTCTGTTCTAGTTATTAAGGAATGCTTATCGTCGTTATCTCTGGTTATAAATATCAACATTTTAATAAATAAATTTAAACATAATTTAACAGTAAAATGTTTAATTTTAAATTATTTTTTAATTTAGTTTGACATAGTACGTTAGGAAAAACGAACCTGCAATTATCGCACGCTAAGTAATCAAACTTTTGAAGAAGAAACGAATCCTTAAATTCTTTTTTACATTCTTGACATTCTGGTAATTTGCTAATTATTGGCGCTGGTGGATTAATGGAACACTATATTGTAAGCAAAATGTTTAGTCATTTCATTGTTAAGCGGTTAATGCTAATACAAAACATTTATCACCATAGCAGCTTCGAGATCATCGTTCTCTTCAATAAGGAAACCAGCTCCGCTATCGATAACCTTCTGCCCTTGAACCTTAATAACTTTTCCTGTGATTCCATTCTGGTTATCCCTAGACAAGTTACTATTATTAAACAACCGATCATTTCTTAACAAACAATAATAAAGCTCTAGTTAAAAAAAAAAAACAGGTTAAATTTAAGCAGTAGAGGAAAAAGCTTAAAAGCTCTTGGCCAACTTACGTTCTTTTAGGAGGATGTGAAACTACTTTCGCTTTTCTTAAAAGCAAAGCCCTTTCTTTGTTTTTTTCAATACGTTTACGAATTCCATCGTTTACTTTTTCATTAGATGTATCAACAATATTCTTATCTTGCGACATTTTCATTCATTGACGACTTAAAGCTAATTAATCATTCTAACGCCTATTACAACATAAATAATAGTTTTGGTCTCTTAAATGAATTTAAATTCATCCAAGGTCAATTAATTATCTAATAACGATGGAATACGACGATTCCAAACAATTAAATATTGATTTTAATACGCTCTCCCCGACATCTAACGGACGAATTCGTTGAATAGAAATCGAACGATTTGTTCTATTTCTTTCTCTTTAGAATCCATAAGATGTTGTATTGTGCTATTAACGAGAAAGGATTTTAAATTCATAACAGGGATGTCGGCTCTGAATTTCAACTACTTGGCTTGAAAATGGCATGAGGTAAAAATAAAAAAACGAAGATAAGTAGAGTTTCTTTACGTCATGCGTCATGGTTAAAAACCGAGAGAGAGAGAGAGAGAGAGAGAGAGAGTGAGAGAGAGAGAGCGTGAGAGTGCGTGAGAGAGGGGGGGGGAGTGAGAATGGAAGTCTGAAGGAAGTGTAAATACACAATTTCGCTTTTGTCTCAACAACATATTTATCGTGCAGATTCACAATATATAAAATAAATTTATGTTAAAATTATTAAGGTCCTACTACAATGAATAAGTATACTATACTGTTGATAAAGTAGAAATTTATCAATTCACATTTGTAATTAACAGGAAATATATATTATTTTAAAAAAATTATAAATTCACGTGACAGATTATATTAACTATTTTTCATACGTGTGCTTTGCATAAATATAAATTTGATTATGTTTGCTTTTTTTTTTTTTTTTTTTTTTTTTTTTTTTTTTTTTTTTTTTTTTTTTTAATAATTACCCTCACATTTGTAATAGCATAACCAAAGGTTCGAAAGAACTTTTTTTTTACTTTCTTCTACGAAAATTTTACTTACAACTATATATTTCACAAAGCCCAGTGTAAAATAAAATAATATTAAAATTATGCTTTTATTAGCATGAAGTTATCTATTATTACATAATTAGTGCAATTATAGTCGGAACCACATAACGCATTATGAAATAAAATGATCATTTAGTATTATGTAATAAACAAAAATTTCTAATAATACTTACCAGTCAGAATGTAGATTTAAAAAATGCCTTGTGCAGTAAAATGTTAAATTAAATAGTGTTGATGAAAAAAAAAAAGAAATTAAACTTCTATAGTCCGAATTTGATATTTTATAGGTATTTTTTCAGAATATAGTAAAACATTCATTTTAATGACTAATCGTAATTTGATGACATAATGAAACTAATATAAACGTAAATTTACAATTTAAATTACTACAGTCGGTCAATTGAAGACTTTAAATGACTTTTTAAAGAGTGTTTGGCCTTTATATATATTTATAAATGAGTTTTATTATTTAGTTAAGAATAAAGTTTATCAATTTTCAGAGAATTTTGGAAAAGTTAGCGACAAATTACTTGCAACGATAATTTAAACGATGTTTTCTTATATCTTATAAACATATCTCTGTTTAAATATTGTAATTTTCTAACGAACCGCGATTCTTTCTAATCCTAGCATATCGCAGCAGTTAATACATTACATTTGAAATATCATTTATGAATTATGATTAAATGAACTGAGCCGATGAAAAGTTTAGATCATTATTGAGAATAAAATAATAATCGACAAGATTGTTTAGCAATAAATAAGGCGTACGTTATATATATATATATATATATATATATATATATATATATTGTCCCTTGAGAATGCTTGTGCATTAATAAAGTCATTGTGCTGACATCTATTGCATTTTATTAGGAGATTACGCTTGCCTGGCTGCTGCGTGTCAATCTGCATCTTATCATCGGGGCAAGTTGGAATGGTCTTGACGGATGGCACCTGTGACGTCATTGTAAAAGAATTTTCTCGATAAATTTCAGGTGCTGCCGATGCTGCTGAGTCTGTGGCTCATTGCACATATTGTGCATTGGACATTTGTCAGTGGAAGTGGGTATGGAAATAAATGACAATATAATTGACGACTTTCAATGCTATACTTATTTTAATAGTCCCTATAATATTTACATTATTTTTATATGTCAACAGCGTTAAACAAAAATATCTTTAGACTTTTTATGTTTATCTTTGAAAGTGGACGGAATAGTTTGAACGCACATTTTCATTCGAAGCGACTTTTACATGCTATGAAATGAAATTATGAAATTACAATATCAACGAAAAAACTAGAGCTTTCTTCATTCATCTTGCATAATAATTGCAAAGGGCGAATGAAAATAAATTAAATATACAATGTTTAGAGCTTATAATCTTGCCACATTCCTTACGTGTAATTATTAACAAATTATTTAATATATTTGAGCTTAGAATTCTTAATTATACACGTGTATCAATGATAATTAATAATTATATTGTACTTAAAATCAAATTAGTAAAAAATAAAAGACAAAATAAAAAAAAAAAACAAAAAAAAAACAAAAAAAAAACAAAAAAAAACACATTAATTTTAATTACACACGATATTAAATTTGTAAAAGTGTCACATATCTTTTTGTACCTTTCACTTATAAAAATATAAATTTGCTTAATTATTCGTTAAAAATATAATCGTACATATATATATATATATATATATATATATATATTTGTAATCATTTTTTTTTTTTTAGAATCTCATGAAAAATGAATGTATTATTGAAATTAAATAACTCGAGCGATTATAATTCATGCGTGTACAATTATTACTTTATTAAAAAAAAAAAAATATATATATATATATATATATATATAGTGTGTGATCCTTCGAGTGATACCAACTGATTATATTATTTTAATGGTTCAGTTATCTATACGTACGATAATTTTCTATATCGTGAAACTTTTAAAATATTGAGCATTTTTTAATATAAATATTTATTTATAAATAGTAATTACAAATACGTATGTACTTGTGAAACTATTAATCAATTACTTACAGTGGATAAAATGGAATTAGCACTATTATAAAATATACAATCCTATTGTATAAATAAAAATTCTTTTATGCGAAATGATACGGCATATTGTTATTAATGCTTATAAATTATTGTCAGTTTAGTACTAATAACAAATAATACTCTTTCGACGTATTGTTAGAATTTTTTTTTTTTCTTTTTTTTAATATACGAACTTTAAAGATCCACGTGTTACCCATTACGATCTCGGTTAAAAAAAGAAAAAAAAAAAAAAAATCAATTGAAAAACTGAATCTGAAGAATAATTTATCCTTATTTAGTTATTTTGTGTTTCAGTTGATTTTTCCATTAGTTTCAGCTAATTTATTTAAAAATATAATGTTGTCCGAGGGGCGAATGAATTTTTATATTTTATTTTCATTATGTATATAGCTGTGAGTCAATTAGACAAAACATAATGAAAATAAGTTCATGGTTTTCTTTTCTTTTCTTTTTTTTTGTTTTTTGTTTTTTTGTTTTTTGTTTTTCATTCGGAATATGTAGGGGAGAGAACCAAGCAGTTCAAAGTCTAAAATCGTCGGGATATCTCAATTATTAATCGATATCACTTTTCAAGTATCAACTCGCTTCATATTCTATTATATCATCTGCATTCGTGCACAATACCGTTCGATTAATCAACCAACCGAAGAATTTCATGTACATCATAGTGTCATAAAAACCATAGAATGTTGTGCTTTGAAAATTTGCAATAATCAGACACACAGTATTAAAGACTAGTTTTTTTTTTTTTTTTTTTTTTATAAAAAAAAAATTCATAAAATATAGAGGACTAACTTCTTTCTTAATTACAAGTCGACACAACAGTTATAATTGAAAATTTAATTCCGAAAGCTGTATATTACCGGGACTCTATGTATAATGGATTTAAAACAAAAAACAAAACAAAACAAAACAAAAAAAAAAAAAAAAAAAAAAAAAAAAAAAAAAAAAAAAAAAGAAGGAACAAATCAATGCAGTATTTCAATGGAAATTATCTAAGAAAAAGTGAATATACAAAGTAATCAAATAGCCGTGGTTTGTGGTGCCGGTGGTGGCGTCAGAGGCGTCCAATTTGGTTGCGATGGCTGCTGCTGCTGCTGTTGTTGTTGTTGTTGTTGCTGCTGGTCCTCGATTTGGTCGTCCTGAGGCTGAGCTTGACGATGCTGATCAATGACTCCGGCGCTGCCGACGAATCTTCGGTCTATCTGTACCTATTTGACGGGAAATTTTGAATAATTTGCTCGACAAAATACCGTTTTGCTTACACTGATGCAGTTTTTATGTAGATTTAAGGGTCTGTTTGTTTAACGAAATTTCTCAATTTTTTTTTTTTTTGTATATTTAACGATATCCAAATATAAGGTACGAAGTGTTATTTGTAATTCATATTAACGTTCCGACCAAGATGAAGTCGGTAATTACAGACACTTTAAGCTCGAGTCGACGTTTAGATTTGACCTTTTCATCGTATTATTCCTTTTTCTTTTCTTTTTTCTTTTAGCCACTAAATCTTGGTACTACACAAAGTTATAACCTGTATTTTGTATTGTAATTCTGTTAATTTACGTATTATTAGTTGAATATTTTTAAATATTTTTGAATATTTTCATCTAAAATATCAATGCGATTTAAAAATGCGATTCAATATAGATTTTATTATGGATCAACATTTTTTAAAATTCTTTTAAATTTCTTAAAAAAAGAAAAAAAAAAAGAAAAAAAAATGAAAAAAAAAAACGAAAAAAAAACGAAAAAAAAAAGAAGAAAAAAAAGAAAAAAGACAATAGTCTATTTATATATTATTGTTATTATTCGATGGAAAATCTTTTGCAGTAAAATTTTCATACCCACACACGGTTACATATTGTTATATACTATAAATATAAATCAATAGTTTGTCTATTTAAATCGATGACGTTTAATCGTAAACTAACATAAAAATAACATTATTTAATATTATAATATTATCGTTACTTTAAATATATATTAAAAGAATAATATTTACATTGTAGGCGTTTTAAATAATTCTTCAATTAATCGTAAACATTGTAAAATATTATACGTGCAATAATATATGTGCAAATCTCAAGTATAAATATAATGACAGATGGGTTACGTTAATTAATTGAACATTTGTAACACAAGTCTAATTATTAAAGATGAAATTACAAAATGATTCTAAATCATTTAAAAGTCCCGTTTCGTGCATATCCAATATCCATACTCATAGGACATTAACATTGGACATTTTTTAATTAGTGAAATTGATTTGGTACTGTTTGTTGTTTATGTTGGGATTCGATATTAATTTACGGCGCATGACATAACTGTACGAAAAATATCAATCACTGCGAAATGTTTGTACGTTGATTATGTATGGGCTTAAGACGTTCCACGGCAATAAGAAAATTCGTAACGAATGGAATATCCTATTTAAGTCTACTTAAGTCCGAGGTTGGTATTGCATTTTGAAAAAAGTATGGCGTTGTTCGGAACTGTATTAAAGCTAAGTTTGTTTGTTTGTTTGTTTGTTTGTTTGTTTGTTTTTGTTTTGTTTTTTTGTTTTTTTTTTTTTTTTTTGTTTTTGTTATAATTACATCGACGGGAGAGAAAAAGTAGCAAATATTTGTCTAGAAAATCAACAAGGTATCAGCTTCAGAGAACGACAATTAGTTAAAAAGAAAATGGAGAAGGGCCAACGCCCTGAACTCGTAAATATTTAAAGATATTTCTTGAAATTTCGTAAATGACATTTGTTCGCATGCCGTCAACGTTTGTTGGCTAAACTCGCGTTTTATGGCTCTCAAATACGAATAGTCCTCCTGGGATTTATAAATAAAACCGTTGTAACATGCATCGTGGCAATGATTAAACATTATATGATAAATATTGCTATATAATTATTATTCTAGTGCACCTTGGCTTTCGATATATTAGGCGATGCTGACGGTGGATTAATTGAAAAAATGAAATGAGATTCGATGATTTTTTTTTTGTTTTTTTTTTTGTTTTTTTTTTTTGTTTTTCAAGCAAACTGTCATATTAGTTTTCTATTCAATATATCTCAGATGGAATACTAAGTTTAGATTACAATGTTGTTTGAAACAAAAGAAAAAAAGTCATTATTTGTGATATTGTATCTTTGTGATCTGTGATTAATCGTGTCTACGGTCAATCGCTTTAATTGTTTCATAAACGTAGCGACGATTGAAAGTTTGGCCGAAATTATCGACTATTATGGATAAAGTGAATTACTCAGCTTTTCCTGGACAATTTCCCCAACTATTGGTCGAGAGAACTTATCGATATGCTAATGTAATAATACCCATTAAACATTAAACAATCACGCTTTAACAATGCTTGCTTTTACAAACTAGACATCTTCCTTACCCGTGGGCTATAAAACGTCGCAAAATAATATTCTTTAATTATAGTGGCTCATTATCGAGTATATTAATCTTTATGAGGCTGGTTGGTTTTTAAAAGAAATTATCGGTGCCCGATAGGTAGGGATTCCCCCTCGGCCTTACATAAGAGCATAATCCACTTCCCGACCATTAAGCACGCGCCAAAGGCGTTTAGATTAACGTAGTGAAAATGAGAAAGATCGGGAAATATTATTTACCGTGTGTTCGGTCCTGGCAGCGTCGGCTGACTCCTCGGCCCTGCTGTTGTAGCCGGTGCCGGTGAGCTGATGGTGATGATGATTGATCGAATCCTTCGTATCGAAGCTCACGGCTTCCGCGTCACCCGAATTGGTATCGTGATTGTGCTGATGATGGTGATGCAGTTGCTGCATTTGCAGATGAGCCTCTTGGTGGTGGTGATGGTGATGGTGGTGGTGATGGTGATGGGGATGGGGATGGGGGTGAGGGTGGTAGTCCGGGTAATCCTGGGCTTGACCGATCGGCGAGTCTTGAGGATGGATGCTCTGCTGCAGACTCGTCCCGTTCTGAGTAGGCATTGCGCACGCTCGTTATGCTTGACATTGGCACTTTTTTCGTTCTTTCTTTTTCTAATTTTTTCCTATATTCTTTGCGCATAATAAATTGCGTGTTTGGCTGGTGTGTGAAAGCTCGCGAAATAATTGCCGAGTTTTTAAACGTTGCCGATTCATTTTATGCTGGATAAATGATGATGTGTTTACGAGTGTCCCGACTCCGATTATTATCGTCGACTAAATATTACGTTTATTGAATAATTTACGTTTTTAAAAATATTTACGTTTCATTATATACGAATGGCTAATGTAAATTTCATTTAAACAGTATATGTTGACCCAATTATTTTATCGAGCAAACACATCTTCTGCTACACAGCTATAAATTCTTGAACTCAGCTGAAAATCGAATTCTTGCTTCGTATTTTATTTAGCAATAAATATTTTATGCGTAATATGACTCAGAACCTCGAGGATATAAGCCGTAAGATTTCTTAAAATTTCTTCTCAACTCTCATATGCAAATATTTTTCTTTATTTATTTTTTATCAGCTCGATGTTATAATAAGTTATGTAAGCTACTCGGTACGACGAAATTTTTATTATCAATATTATAAATGTGTATTCGGTGATTTTTTAATGATAACGAGAATGTCGATTCAAGCCTTTAATTGTTTTTTTTTTTTTGAAAAAATCCCTAATCTTAATACGCGCGTGGTAACATTATAAAAAAAAGAAAAAAATCTGCTATTAACGTTACTTTTTCTCCTTCGTATGACCTATCACTAGCAAACAATCGAGCCTTTATTAATGCTAAACATAAATTATTTCATAAAATAATTCGTATCTAACATTATTGTTCCCTTGCACATATTGACCGTGAAGAAATTCAACTATAAACTCAATGCCTAAATTTTTAATTAAAAAGTCGAAACTTTCACCAACGAGCTTAATGATATTAATTATTCATTTGCACTCTATTGATGAAACCGAATATGTAGACATAAAGCATGTGGATATGAGGCCCAGCTTGAAAAACTCATGGCTCAACGTGCAAATAAATAATATACAAAAAAACAAGAAAATTACAATCGAATAAGTGAAAGATCTTAATGAAAGAGCTCACCGTATAAGATATCTGATGATGCAGATGCAAATTGAGATTGAGATAGGATTGCTGTTGCTGATGATGATGATGATGATGATGCTGCTGGTGCTGTTGCTGTTGCTGCTGTTGCTGCTGCTGAATCTGCTCTGAGACTGTGGGGTGTAACCAAGCGGTGGATTGTTGCTCGCTGGTGCACTGGACGTGTTCCTGAGCAGGATTGGCGGAGTACAAAGCTGAGCTTGGAGAGAGACCGGTCACGCTATTACTCGCGACAACTCGGTGGTGATTGAGACTCTGGTAGGGTGAGGTTATTGCGATGGAGGTAGGCGAGGGCGATGGCGAGGATGGCCAATCCTGGTTGAGAGTCGTTGGACATGGTTGCAGGACCGAGAGCTGCTGCTGCTGCTGCTGCTGCTGCTGTTGTTGTTGTTGCTGCTGTTGTTGCTGCTGTTGTTGTTGCTGCTGCTGTTGCTGCTGCTGTTGCTGTTGCTGTTGCTGTTGTTGTTGTTGTTGTTGTTGCTGCTGCTGCTGCTGCTGCTGTTGCTGCTGGTGTTGTTGGTGTTCTGGACTTCGCGGTGACCAACCGCTCATGTAGGTGCTCGAGTGAAGCAGTGGAACGGGTCCATATGGGTCGACGTGTTGCTCTTTTATACAATAATTATCTCGTGTTATTTTAAGAATAGTTTTTTTTTCTTTTACTACGAGGGCGCTTGCGAAATCAATAGCAAAGCCGACGTATTTCTTGACTATTATTATTATTATTACCATTATTATTACAATTAAATGTGATTTATATGATATCGAGTGAGGTGAAAACTTGCGTCGATATTTTTTGCTCATTACATATTTGTTTAGTGGAGTGGATGAAGTTGCAATGGACAAACATCCTCTTAAATTCAAGTTTTATTAAATATTTTTCACTGATGAAAAAAAACGCGGATAAAAAAAAATGGATTTTTTTTTTATGCAAATCATTTGTATTGTATAATCATTTTTATAAAAAAAAAAAATTATATATACTACGATGAATAATGATGGAAAACAGATTAATGAAGGCTCATTTCGATAATGTAAATGTATTAAAAATGAATTCATTATCCATAAACATCGTTCGATGTATTTATCGTGTTAATCGTGCTTCATGAATAATTAAGACTTTATTAAAAAGTATTTTATTTATTTTATAGTAAATCTATTTTATATTGTACTTGAAGTTCTAATTTAACTAAAAAATCTAAAATTTTATGGATATTAAAGTAAACGTATGAGAGATTGAAGAGATGTAGAATTTAAATTGGCATTATAAAGAATACAAAATTTTCACATTCTCCGAAAGTTCTAGAAGTTTCGAGAATCATGAAAAATTTCATTTTATTCCCTATTACCGTAATTTATTATTATATTAACAAGAGTCCATTATAACATTTGAAAATTAATAGAAAATATGATGGTAATATATATATATATATATATATATATATATATATATAGAACAAAAGTATATCCACTTAATTTCAGGTTATTGTTAATAATCCAACGTTGACATACATTTTCTCAATAAATAGTATAAGTCCGTGTTATAAAAATTTTTATTGTAACATGCATGGGAAAGGTTTATTTTTTATTAATAATGTAAATATTCATATAAAGGTATACATAAAAATATGTACAATTATTTCTAATAAAATTTAAATAAATTGATAATACTATTATTTAAATTATATCGTTGTAGGGTATAAGGGTATTATATGATATTAAACATATATGTTCCGTTTAAGCTGATATGCTAAAAATCTATATTACTATTTATTTCATTAGTTTTAATTAATATTAAATACATTAGAGTAATAATTTAACTTTTGCATTTCATCGTAACGATTCATTTATCATTTATAGTAGCTTCGCGAAATGTGACGAATCATTCTTAATCTACAAAATGGCGTTTTGCAATATTATCCCTAATTAGACAATATATCAATATATATATATATAAGCAAATTTTAAATTTCCACTCAAATAAAAATATTTATATTACATTACTTAATAAGAGATTATTTTGCCGTAACTTTAGTTAAAAAATAAATTAATTTGCATAAAATTCAATTAGAATCCGAGGTTAAATGAATTAAAATAAATAATTCAATTCTTCCATACCTTTGCCTTATTGCAAAAGGCCCGATTGTAATTAACATGGAATTACGAAATTGTCACTACTTTCTAACATGATCAATTATTTTAGAATGATTTATATGATATTTTAGTTTAACTTTTCATGGGTGACAAAACAGATTTTCCAGTAAAATGAAAAATAAATTTTCAAACAGCGATATCGAATGGTTCATAATTATTTAAAAATTAAGAATCAATCAGGCTTTAATAAATATTAATAAATATTCTTCTATTAATGTCTTATCATAACACCACCACCGGCACCACCAGCATCATCAACAACAACAAGAATAAGAAAAAGAAGAACAACAATAACAATAACGACGACGACGACGATAACGTCAGTAACAATGACAAGACCAACGATAAAAATGATAATGATATCGATGACGATAATAGCGATGAATATAACGATAAATATTATTTTGTAAAAGTACTCTAGTTAGTAAAAAAATAAGGTAGTGATTATACATTCGTTATATTATTATATTATTAAAATATAATTAAAATATAAGAATGATTATTATCCTTTGAATTTTTAGCTTTATTTTAATAATTTTGCATTGAAACTTAACACCGTTTTAATTAGACGCAAAGTATAGGTGGCAAGTACGCGTCATTAATATCTTGATGATAAAATAACTTTCTCAATATATTAATCTTATACGTATATGTGTACATTACGTTATATCTAACGATATATGTATATATATATATATATATATATATATATATATATATATATATATGTATATATATAGTGGAAGTGTACCTTCATGGATGTATTTATGTCTCAGTGTATAAGGGGCAGGTCTGCTTTTGTGGCTGCTAGAGGAAATACTACACGGTGAAGATAAAGCGGCCGTTGTGCCACTCGAAGCTTGACTTTGAGCCACTGTTATTCCAGCACCGTAATCATAATTCATCGCTGGTTGGGGTAAAAACCAAGCTCCGGTATCTTGAAAATTAATTCTTTTCTTAGCGCATCGAGCCGCCGGGTATTAGGTTATTACGAGCTCGTTAGACTCCCTTATCGCTATTAATAACTTCAATGCAATGGATTTAATGTAAAAATATATTATGTTTGAGTTCGGCAATCACGGCTCGGCCCGATCACACGACGATTGTGCAATACGCGAAAGCAATTAATTGATGATTAATTTTCAGAACTTATTGAGACACAACTATAAATGTTTGATATGTTTACATTGCGGGTACGTCTGAGAGTCGGCTGGCCGCTCCTTTGCATCCAAAAAAGCCTTAGCAAATGGGTTGTACTTGATTTTCAGACTAGTCACTTCCTCGTTTTGGTATGCTGTCACTGCAATAAACTGCGTTTCTGGAAATCTGTACGTGAGAACCTGTCGAAAAACCCACCTCTTCTTATTTCACGTTTTAAAAGTGTATTTTCCTTTTTTATCTTCTCTACATACTTTTTTTTTTTTTTTATCCAAATACAAGATTCTTACTCATTTTGACAAATATTTATTAATATCGAGAAAAAAAAAAATGTTCATTTACTTTTAGCTTCGAATTTATCTTAATTTGCCCTTTCATTACAATAATTTATGAAACAATTGAACAATTGAAATAGGGCAATTATTATTGTTATTATTATTATTCTTTTTTTTCCTCCTTTTTTTTCTCTTCATTAAAGTGCGAACGTTAAAAATAATTTTTTACAAAATTCATTAACGAACTATGGGGAATTAGATATTTTATTTGACAGCAGGAAGAGATGAAAGTATGCAGATATCGTTAATAATGAAAAAAGTTTTCGAATTCTAAATAAATAACATAAATAATGCTAGTAGAATTTAATAACAAATTTGTTAAATCTTACTGTCCGCTGTTCTTCAGCACCAACTCGAACAAGATGGACGCGTGGCTCGTACTTGTGAAGAGAATTTAACATTATTTGTCCGTTGCCGTTGGATTTATTCGTCAACTTAACTTTAGCGAAGGACACTGCTTCCTTCATCCAATGAGCTCCGAAATTTGGGCTCTCAGGGTGTATGTAAATTGGATTTGGTGGTGCAACTTCTGCCTTACCCCCTGGCACCCATTCGCCATTTACATACTTCCATCTGAGAAAAATTTAATTCTTCACAAAATTTCTCCTCAAATCCATTTAGAATTAGACTGATTTCTTCATTCCCTGCCGTTTATCCTCTTAAATTTTCCCATAAATTTATGCCTTCCTTATTATCTAACTTTATTATGTATAAATTACTTTATACTATATTCAATATTATTGTCTAGTTGGATGAGGATAGAGAATAGTTTATTTTTATGATTATATGATATAATAAAAAATAATTTTCACACGTATAATATATATATATATATATATATGTAGAAAAATTATCTTAGAAATATGATAAATTTGATCTAAGACTATTGGGATTGAGACTGTGGAATATAATTAGCATAGTATGGATGAACAAAAATTTTATTCAAGTTTAAAAATAATTTCATAAATAAATCCATACAACATCATTATTCTTCATATGATATTCCGATTAATGTATAAGTATTATAGAAGTAATATAATAATTAACAATAAACAAGTAATATAATAATTAATAATAATTAGAAATAAGAATACTTTACGTAAAATTATGTATTGAATATATTCTTG